CAGGAGGTCATCATTGACATCTTAAAAAATTATTAGTGTTGTGATGCTGCTCCTACTCATCCAAACACTTGATTGAGTCACGCACTGAACCATATAGATTCAGCATCAGACATTACACTTTCTGTTTCCAAATTCATTCATTCCAGAAAATGACATTTCTAAAATGGAAGTGGATCACATCTTTCTGATCTACATCCTTAAATACCAGGGAGAGAAATATGTTTTGCCTCACTCACGGGGACTTATGAGAGTGGCATAAGCCTTTCTCCTACAGACTGTCGGCAAACTCCAGGCTAAGACTTCCTTAACATAGCAAGTGTGGTACAGTGGGTGTGTGCAAGGACCCCTATAGTCAGACAAATATTACCTCCTATACCTTGGGTTACAGAATGATGAATTATTAGAAGTACCTTGTCTGTAAGTTCTGCTTGACTTCAGGCTTCTATATAACCCCGTGGTTGTCTCGGCAACTCACCTTCTCACACATAGAGACTCACTAATATCCTACAGATTACCCCGTCACCAGGTTTTACCCGTTGTTTAACCTACTGGCAAAACAACTCTGGCTGGCATACACAGTCTATCGGCAGCATCTTCAGTCTCTTTTGACTAGTCAGGGGTGGCATTCACTAGAGTATGGTTGATATACTGTAGTTGGTAAATGCCTGTTAATCCTTTAGAGACAACTCCATTGCACGGAGATTAAACCTAAGGGAGAGAATCTGATTGACTATTTTGGTTGCACAATATTCCAGTAGTTCTCCTTCCCAGGTCTACAGCTATAGTAAGAAAAAACCATAGACCTTCGACCAACAACTTTCTCGGATTGTTATTGCTCCTCATTATCTAACTCTTTTACTCCTGGTTATAAGTCATTTGAGTCATGGAACATGTCATTTCCTAGAAGTTTAAAGCTTCAAAATTATAACACATGAGCTTAGAATAGTTAAGATAAATACACTCAGCAGAAAAGAAACAGAAAATCTTCAAAAACAAATTTCTCCCTCCTACCTACTCTGTAGTATTCTGAAGTTCACTTATTTCCTTTTAATTACATGAGTAAAATCTAAAGTATAAAAAGAAGCCCTATATAAAATTTATTGCAAAGAGTAAATCTGAATTGTCTGACTTTCACTGAGTTAGTAAAATAGAAAGAGACTGGACACAAGTTAAACACAATGAGACATCTGTATTTAAAATAATAAAGATCAAAGTTCCAAAAGAAGAGTGTAATTTTGGCACCTTTACTGAAAAGCTTTCAGATACAATCATTCATTTAAATCAAATTAATATATCTATTAAATCAATATTTTTCTCAATCATTCCATGTTTGAGATAACATGGCATTCAATGCGAAAACAACAATGCGATTATTATCAACAAACAGGCATTACCCAAATAACTGAAAGCCACTCTCACTACAAAATAAGGGATATTATATTCTTGAAGTATCAACTGATTTGCCAGGGAAAGAAGAAGAAAGGGACAGGAAACACGCAGGATGCCTGCATACCATAAATTTAATTTTACATCTATGTTTATACTAATGAGTAGATTTGGAATTTTGTACCAAAATTATGCCATTTTATCCCCCAGGATGAACATTTTATCAAAGCTTTACAGTGGCGTAACAAAAGTTCTCAGCACCCGGGGGCAAAGACACTTTTGGCGCCCCCACCTCCGATATGTTTTGATTATTTGTTTTGTGACTCATTACCCACTTAATGACAATAACATAAAGAATTAGTTACCGCCTTACACAGGCCTAAAATAAAGTCACAATATAACATCTCACGATATCACAACTGTAAACCCGGAACTAATGAAGTATAGCCTACTATGTGTACTTACATAATTTGTAAACCATTTTAATATTTATGTCATCCAGTATTGTTCAAAGTCACATAGTTAGAGTAATCTTTCAAGATAGCAGAATAAATTTCTGTTATATTCCTTATTTTGAAACTTATGTTTTATATGAGAAGCCAGTCACTTGTGGTGTACATGGATTATAAAACAGATTGATAAAGTTTACAAATAAAAATGTTTATTAGTTTACAAAACTGTATATATACTTAACTAGATCTTGTACATGTAGCATTCTGGTATTCATGGTTACATTATATCAACCTTTCGTGCGTTTGCTGCTGCAAACTATCAACATTTATAGTATTAAGTACGTCTTTTTCAATACTTATCATTGCCAAGTTACTAAGTCGTTCTTGAGTCATTGAGGTTCTCAGGTACGTAAGAATTAATTTCAGCTTGCGGAAAGACCTTTCACAACTAGCAATAGAAACCCCAATTGTTAACAAAATCTGCAATGCAATTCTTAAATTTGGGAAAATATCATCACCATATGAAATTATAAATGTTGGCAAATCAGTTGCAATCATTGGTTCAGGAAAATCGGTCTGTGTTCTTTTGCTTCTCAACATTCTACAGTCTTTAACTTTTAGCAAAGAGCTATCCAGGTGATATTGATGGACCAGAATTGTACAGAGGGTCAGAACATTTTTCTCGCAATTTTCCGTCTTTGAAATATCCAGAAACAATATCTTGCACGTCTAGTAGAAATCCAAACCGTGAATCTAAATCTAGTAAGCGAGAAAATCTTCCTGTTATTTCTGTAATCAAGCGATCAATAACATCCTTCATGATGCGATAAATTTCCTGTTCAGCAGTCAATCCAGCATCAGCTGCATTTTCACCTGGCATTCGTTTACGACGTATTTTTCTTCTTTCAATGGTCAATCCCCATGTTTCACATTGATTCTTGCCCACTTTAAGTGCTTCTTGACAGGATTCTATCAATTTCTCAAGATCAGCAGCTGCTTCTCTAAAATTCATTTTGGATCCTGAAGACGTTTTTGCACTCGATTGATGAACGATAAAAGATTTCTCCAAAAATGTAAAAGTACAAGAAAATCAAATGTAAGCATGCATTGCAGAATATTATGAGCACCACATTTTGTTTCAGCTGTGTAATTGCTCTAACAGTCCTAGCAATTCATCCAGTTTTTCATGTGCAACTTTTACTGCCATTTCTCTTGCACTCCACTGTGTTTCTGATTCACACTTGACAGAGATCTTAAGCTCCTGCTGCAGTTCATCCCATTGAGTTGTTGAATGGGCAAAGAAATTATAAATGGCTTCATTTATACCGAAAAAGGTAATAACTGTTGTTTCCTGACTTGCAGCATGAAGAGATGCTCAGTTCCAACTATTGTTACGACAGCGGAAGTTGCGTGACACTGAGCGTATGCGTGTGTATTGTTTCTAGAATTATCGGGGAACCCTACGAATGTTCGAGTGTTTGCTAGACACCCTCTTTTTTAGTATATAAGCCTGGCAAAGACAGCCAGCAATAGAGATATAGATAGATCGAAGACATAGACTGAAGAGAGAGATAGATAATTGAGTCAAGCAAACAGTATGCACCATAAGTAAAGTGTGTGAATCACTGTGATTCATAGTGTGTGTTATAAGGGTTGTTAAGTTTACAGTGACTGTGGAAATTCTGTGTATTACAAAAAGTTGTATCTAGAAAGAATAAACTGGTTTAATCAAGAAAGGACTTGTATCACTGAAGTTCCTCAGAAACAATTTATACCAGAAATTAACAAACAAGCAGATATGCAACACTATGGTTGTCACAGTTTATAAACACTGCTTTTGGATTTTTCTTCAGAATTCTTTGTTCAATGCCTGACAGATGACCTGACATGACAGCAGCATTATCATAACATTGTGAACAACAATCACTCAATAAAATTCCATCCACTTTTAATTTTGTGCTTATTGTTTTCTCAATATTGGCAGCATCTTTTTCCTTTATCTGTATAAAGTCAATAAATGACTCTCTGACTTCTACTTTTCTTGTCTTAAAGTCAATGTCAACAAACAGATTCATTTGGGCAAATTGCTCATGATGGGCTAAATCAGGTGTGGAATCAAACAGAATACCATAGTATTTGTTTCTACGAATTGCTGACATACAATAATTTCACACATGTG